AAGTTGGCCGTAGCCTTTTAGTTCGGGTGTAGCCCAGTGAGCCCGCTTTTTCGGGTTATCCAGGCCTGCCTAAGATAACAGTCCCTGAGTGGGTATGGCCGTGGCCTTAAAATTTCGAGGGTTGCCTAAGAGGTCTTATGTCCTCGACGTTCAATGATCTGTTCGAGTTTATTTTATGGACGGCAGTCCCCGAGTGTGGGAGTGATTATCTGAACTCTGGTTATAATCGGCCCTTAAGCTCGTTCCCATAATAGATTGAAAGTATGGAATTGTAAAGTAGAAAAACATTTTCTAAGACATGAAATAATTGCAAGGAAAAATACTTCTCTTTATTCTCGTGAAAAATGATTACACATGCGTACATGTTTTTATCCAGGTCTCGAACAACCTATCTGGGCACGGTTCGTTAGACCATTTGACCCTATCGAGACCCCGTCATTATGAAGTAATTTCCTCGCAACAAAGTTGACATCCAAAGGCAATGCCCCTCAGTATTCGAGGATTATTGTAGGGAGCCTTGGGTACTGTTAAATGCTGTCTTTGACACTGATTCATGGTCGGCCTTCGACTTTTGAGTTAGCACGATCCGTTGTTGCCTCGTTAAAAAACTTGCCGAAAAACCCAATCGGGACAAAAACGGTTCAAGGAAAAAAGAGTGCAACGTGTGCTTTAAGACCTAAAGCTTTGTGCCGCTCCTCGTCGATAATCTGCAAGTGTTAGTAGAAAAATAGAAAGAATTGAAATGGGGTCGTACCTTCATTTGGATTTCGGATGTTTAATGTGACCTTCCTTAGTACCAAGTCCCCGTGAACTTTGACCTCGATCCTTTCTCCTCTCATTTCGTGTAGAATTTTGCCCAGATCTGCTGTCTCTACGGTCCCCATTATACGGTTGATATCGATCTCTTTTTGACATCGGTTCTCGGTCGATATCTCTCTGGATTCTATCCACGGGCCAGTTAGGATAAACGGACCTAGAGGGAGCCCCCAATTGATCATCCTCGATCCTGATCTTCGATTGATACCAATTGTGTACATCGGCCCAAGTGACAGCTGGGTATTCGATCGAATTCTGCTTCAACTGCTGTGAAGCTATTGAACTTTGAACGTTAAGACCTTGAGTGAAAGCTTGAACGGCCTAATCGTCGATGACCGGTGGCAAATCCATTTGCTCCATTTGGAATCGAGATACGAATTCCCTGCGCATCTCGTTGTCCTTCTACCTTACCTTGAAAAGGTCCGACTTTCTTGTTGCGACCTTAATGGATCCAGCATATGCGTTTACAAAAGAATCTGCAAGCATAGCAAACGAGTCAATAGAATTAGGCGATAAATTATGATACCATATCATGGAACTCTTCGATAGAGTCTCCCCGAATTTCTTTAGCAATATGGATTCAATTTCGTCAACTTCCAAGTCGTTTCCCTTGATGGCGCACGTGTACGAGGTGACATGTACGTTTGGATAACTCGTTCCGTTATACTTAGGAATCTCGGGCATACGTAACTTCTTGGGGATTCGGTTCGGAGTCGCACTTGGGGGGGGGGGGGGGGAGGTTTTTGTACAATCTTTTTAGAATCTAGTCCTTTCAATATCGGTGGTGCCCTCAGGATTTGATCGACCCTGGAGTTATAGGTTTCCACCTTCTTATCATTTTTCTCGATCTTCTTTTCCCTTGTCTCGGTCCGCTTTGTCAATTCTTCGAGCATTTTTAAAATAGCAGGATAGGTTTTCGATTCCTTCTTGTTCGATTTTCTCGAAGCCGATTCGACCCTGTGAATAACTTCTTGGGATGGCTCGAGTTCGACCCTGCTTGGCGTTTGGTTCTGATTTTGGAGCTGAGCTATTGCTACCTGTTGGGCCTGCAACATTTCGAAGATTACCCGCAGCCTGATCCCTCCATCTTCACCACCATGTGCATTCTGAGTAGCTGATCTAGTATCCCCACGGACGCTGCTTTTTGGATCGATGGCCAAATTTCCATTGATGGCTACATGCAAACTGACGTCGATGGGATCTATAGCCGGAACTCCATCGAGGGTACAACGTTTCCTGGTGCAATGTTCTCATTCTCGCCGTGGTGGTTGAGATCATTGTCAATATGTTGAGGTGCTAATTGAGAGTTTGACATTTTTTAATCCTGTAATCAAAGAACAAGCGTAAAATAGTGTGTGTTACAAAAATTTGTACCAGGCAATCACTATTATCCTTAACCCCACGGTGGGCGCCAAACTGTTACCCTAGAAACGGATAACAAATGAATTTATACTGTGGTTTTAAGGACACGTGATCTACTTAGCACAAATTGAGAGAAAACGTAAATTGACAATGAAATTAACTGCGAATACAGATAAAGCAACCCATATAGAACGTATAGCTTTAATCCTTGAGCTAGGTTGCCCTCGAATCGAATTAATATTTCGCCGGAAAGTATGAACACAATAACAAAAATATTGAGAGCTTAAGAGTAAGAGAATATATTGCTTTTGTAACGTGAATATGATGTGCTTTACAAATGATTAGACCCCCTTTATCTAGTAGGGGAGTCCTACTCTTGGTATAATTCTAAATACAGTAAAAAATTCCATGATTGGCTAATTAATCAGTCTCTTCTTTATACGTGCCGGGATTTGCGCCGTGATCCTCGCCCGGTTGCGGATCTTTCGTCTTCCCGTTATTCGACCCAATAAGCTTCCCTTGATCTCTATCTTATTCGGTCCCGATCTAGATCGATCTCAATCTTGGTCGGTCTTGATTTTAATCGGTCTCAGGGTCTTGAGCTTGACAACCTAACTCCGCACCATAGTTTGACATAAATCGATGCCGATCCTCGACTAATCATGCTTCAGCCTCAATCAATCGCACAAAAAGGGCAAGCCCGATTTTAACCGTATACACAATGACACATAAGAAATTCACAATAACAAAGAGCAGAAACTCCGAAAATAGCAAGTACCATAGGAACATCAAAGAGGTAAAACGGTGATGCAAAATTACAACAGCCACAATAGTGGAACAATGTTCCCACAGGGAGTATTATTGAAATCAACCCAATATCAAGGTCACAGCATCAGATTAACTCAGCTAGAAATGATAAAGTCCAAAGTTTCTTGCCATCATAAAAGAAACAACAAAGTGATGAACACATGATCCTCAATTATTGCACTGTCCGGAGAATACCAGGGTCGCCGGAGATCGAGAAAACAATGGCCAAAGTCACGCAAAAACAGAACCAAACGAGCCTAGAAATGAGCAGGCACAAGTAATGTATTAGGAATAATTCATCGATAAAAATGTATAATCAAGAGCGATATTACATATCAAACAAAGAATCAGGAAATCAAGAGCGACAAAAATGATTTTGCTAAGAACAAATAATCAAACAAGTTAGTAACAGATGCAGGGATCAATTCAATCACACGACTATCTATGCCCCGCTGTGGGCACCAAACTGTTTACCCGTAAAATGGTACAGTTGAATTTATACGTGATTTATAGACAAGTGAATTAATTTGATCCTAAAATAATTGATGAATTAAACAGAAATATAAGACTTAGCCTTGAAATTGAAATAGACAGCAGATATCGTGGTTCCGGGCGTAGACTTACCCGGAGCAATAAGAACAACACAAATGAGCAAGCAAGTGAAGTGTTATTAAGTTTTTCATAGATTGTACTGCTTGTTTGTTAGAAAATTCGTGTCTTTTACAATGATGATAGAGCTTACTATTTATAGTTACACATAGAGAACAAGATCTAAGGATTAAGCTCCTCTTTAATGACAATTATGAGGTCCATTAAAGGACAATGAATACCATATTCTCTGTAACGGATCATGCACTTAATGCTATAGAATATTCTTCATTGAATGCTACCAGATGGCGGCATTAATTTTATCGTTATTGGTACCATTCTCCCCGGTGACAAGCGAGATCATTGCCCTCGAGTTTAGCTATCTTTTCCTTCTGTTTCACGTGTCGCTTTCTTTTTTATTTTGAAATTGTGTTTTTTTTTATGATTCCAATTTACGTGTTTTAGTAATATTAACTTGTTATTTCACATTGCATGTTGTTTATTTTTTAGTTAGAGTTGATAGATTAGTTTTGTCAAACATTTAAATAATGTTATGACATTATACTTATAAATATTAATTTATTTTATCAAACACGCATTCCATGATGTTCTAACAAAACATATATTTATAATTTTTATAATTAATTAAACTAAATATTATTACTTTGGAAAATATGTATCAGTTATTTTTACAATATTAGTTATAAATATATGATTACTCATTAATGTATATTCAAGAAAAAATATGCATATTAAATATTAAATCTAATATCATTTATACTTACAAAAAATTATTTATAGGAATATATTTATTATGTTAACTCTTATGTTTGATAATTACTTCATTTAAAATTTATCTAACTGTATAATTACACTTGTGCAACCAAACAGTACGCTTGTAATTACACTGTAATTACGTTATAACAAACAAATAGGTCATCGTAATTACTAGGCTGTTACACCAATTTCGATTACCGGGTGGCTTTCCAAACAGACCCTTAGTTTATTTTCCAAGTTTTGAATATTTAAGTCCTGCTGTGTAGCTTACTGCAGAGTATGTGCCCACCTAAGATTACTTTCGGGACTTACCCATCTTATGAATATACCAAATCTGGGAAGATACTTACAAGCACCTGTTAAAATCCGATCCTTTAATTGCCTTCTCCTACCAACTCCCTCTGCATCTCTTTACCAAAAATCATCTTCCAATGTCCATGCGTTGGTATGTCTCAGTATCTTTTGGCTGGCTTGCATCAAAGCTGCAGAAGACGAATGTGAAAGTCGACAGTCTCACTGTAAATGAAATTCGGAACTTCACCAAGATGCAGGAGGAAAGTAGAAAAATCAGAACCAGTTTCAATTATAGATCTTTCCCCCTCCCTATATATTTTTCTAAAGAAAGATTTAGTCCAGCTGCTCTGCATTGCTGAGATACCAATGACTTCTCGGAATGATTCCAGATTCTCAATCAGTCACACCATTCAACAAACAAGGCCTACCTAACAGGCAACAGCTTCTATTTAAAGAAAAAGAGATTAATGTCTACATCACATGCTACACGAGATTGCTATCAGCAGTAACGGGAAGATACAAACGAAACAAGCTTGTGTAGAGGAATAGCACATAACAACTGAGCATCGGCACCAAATCTTCAATTTTGCTCGCTACCATTTGTTATGGCTTAAAATTAAGGTCCACCTCACCACCACACTGGACTCAGCATAATCTTCCCATTTCCTTCCAACAGAACAAGAATCTTCTATAGCAAAAGTTCACTTATTTATAGTATTCTCCTCTCCATTCTCTTCTTCACTATCTTTTGGCCCCCCACCAAGAATTTCAAAATCATCAAAACCTGTGGTAGACGGTCATGATCGTCAAAAGATTGCAACTAACAAAGATTTCTTAAGTGAGAAACATAAGTTACCTGCACCTAAGGCTTCAATATCATCAACTAGTGGACCTAAGGGAGCTATGCTGCCTGAAGGTGGGTCAACTGTCATCCAGTCTGAATTTTCCATGTCCTCCGAGCTTAGTTCCCTTCTGGAAACCCAGTCATGAACAAGGTCCATTTTGTCATAGGAGATGGAGTCCATACAGTCCGGATCCATGTTTTGCCTATTGCTGTAAGCAATAAATTAGACACACTCTATTTCATCTCAAGAAAAGGACAACAGTTTGTAAATTTCTCCCTTTACCTTTGCCTCAACCACAAGTTATAGTGAACAAAAGCAAGATCATTAAGTCTTTGATGCTCAATGCAATTTTTTGTCTCATGCATCTCTTCTAAAGGAATTCGACCTGGCTTGAACCTGATCAAACTTGATGTTTGACTAAGAATACGGATGGCCAGGCGAGCCAAATTTGGGCATCCTCCACCATAAGTTGACCACCAATCAGCTGCAAGAATTACAACATAATTACACACTTCCGAAACAGACAAATATTCACACTCCCAGGAGTGTGATGCTAAATTATTACTACTTGTTAATTTGCTTTGCCAAAATCCAATAATTACTGAACTAAAGAAACTGACTATGGTTGGACAAAAAAGAATTAACTTTTCTCCATAATCTGTAATGTCAAATATATGCAAACAAAGGGCAAATTAATGGGAGAGATACTAGTTAACAACTGACACAGCTTGAAACCTTGACCAAGAATGCAAACATGTTTACATGGTTTCTTATAACTAGAAGAATACATTCTATGCAACAGAGCATGGTTCGAACTTGCTTGCGTCCATTAACAAAAAGAGATTTTCTCTGATCAAAGGATCTTAAGCAAAATAAGAATCCATCAATTTCTACCAAGCCTATACAAATAAAAGCTTGTCGCCATAAGCCGACACACTAGAAAGAAAAGGGAACTAAACAAGAAATAGAAATGAATATAGAAAATACAATATGTAAATTTGTTTTGAATGAAGTGATTCTTCCAATGATGATCGCGACCACTAGACTATCCGAGAGGAATTAGACTAAAGAGGAATAGGGATACTGGCATTTGACACTCTACCTACAAGAAACTCCCAGAACATAGATTAGAGGTCATATTCAAGTTGATTAAAGTAACTTTGCCAAACCACTAATAGTTTGGAGATTTAAAACCACACAAATAGTAGGTGTATACAGGAATCCATTTCATGGAATGACACTCACCAGGAAAAAGAGAGTCTCTAGCTCTCACTGCCATTTTCCTACCAAAATCTCCAGCACCGTTGTGGTAAGAAGTAGTTTCTTTCCCAATTTTGTCTTGGATTTTAGGATCAGGAACCAATTTCTCTATACAATCATATAAAAGAGATCTGATATGGAGGCCCAACTCTTCCTCAGTAGTATAGAAAAACTTGGGATTGAGGTAAAACCCCGCAGCATGAAGAGGATGTCGCTGAAGTGGTTCCCACCTGTGATCTATAATATTCCAATAAACTAAGTAATCCTTCTTATTCACAAGCTCACTCTTAATTGTTTCTTTTGCTCGATAGAGCCCTGCATAAACATATGCCATCGCAGGCCTCTCCTCACTACAGACTATCCTCAAAAGCCTCAAGATGGGATCTGTCAAGCGGGTAATCAAGCTGCAAGTAGACCAAAAGGACTGATTACTGATATAATCTAGCACAGCGAACCCCTCTGGTTTCTTTGAATGTGGGCTCTCCATCCATTCCACAGAAGTAACCATTGATTGCAAATTGTGTTTGATATTTACCATTCGTTTTAGTGTCAGAAAGTCAGTTGCCGAGCGTGTAACTCCTAGATCAACTAAGTCAACTCCAAAGGTGAACTTTCTCATCATACTCAAGAGAATGTTATTATTGTAGATGAATCTTGATATAGACTTTGCTTGTTCCATTATTGTATTGATCCACTCAAGTCCTTTTATGTCCTCGAGCATCAAATCAACGGAGTGAGCAGCACAAGGAGTCCAAAAGAGTGTAGGGTAAGCATCAGTGAGCCTTTTCCCAGCAATAACATATCGCTCCTTGCTACTAGTTACTACTTGCAACACATTTCTCACACCAACTTCCTCAACTACCTCCTTAAGCAACTCATAAAGAGAATCCGGAGAATTTATTATGCTAGATACATCCACAGACCTTAAAAACATTGTCCCTTCGGGGCAGTAGACCAAAAAGTTTACTAGTGTTCTACCCTTACCTGTAATCCACTCATCAACCAAAACAGAGCAACCACTCCTCGCCCAGGTGCTTGAACATTGATCAAAGTCGTTCCTCACTTCTTGAACTGAAGCTTTTAGAACCCAGCTTCTAAGGTCATGGTAAGAAGGGCCTGTAACTTCTGCTCCTTGTGAAGCGATCGCATCAATCATCGGTTGGAAATAAACAGAATTTACAGCATCAAGAGGCACCCTAGCATCTAAAAGGAATCTGGCTACTGCCATATGGACATGATTGTTCACTCTTTTCGACATTGCAGCCTGGTTCATTGCAAGAACCATGGCGTTATTATTTGAAGAAGAGGCTTTCCTGATTCTACCCTTTTTCTTCCTACCACCCAATTTATTACATCCGTGGTCTCGATTCAGAAACAAATTAGAGGTCTGTTCAAGAGCTTCAACTGGCATTGGAAGCAAGTCAACTTCCGAATTCAGGCCACAACTATTAGTCAATGCAGCAATCTCACTAGTGCCAACATTATAAGTTGATATTTCCTCAGCAAGCTTTTGTTTTTTTCTCTTCTTCATTACAACCCCATTTAAGCTCTCTTGCATCAAAAGCCGAACATCAGGCTGAACTCTCAAACAAGTAGATGCATTACCTTTCTGACCCGCAAGATGTTCTTTAATCCTATGAATTCCACCACCCTTAAATATTTTTCCACAATATATACACTTTAGCTGCACCCTAGCCCCATTCTTATACATTTGACAATGCTTCCATGCGGGGTCATGTTTTTGTGAAGTAACTGGCACTGGTTCCAAATTAGAATCCATTTTAACATTTACAAATTCTTTAATCACTCTTTTAACTTCAATCTATATGAGAGTCTGAAACAATATCAAAATCCCATGTATATTTATAAGGATAAAATGAATAATCTCAAGGCGTAAAATAGAAAACTTACTTGTAAATTGTTTTTCCGCTTTTTTGAGAAGAGAAAGATGGGAGAAACCGAGTTAGGGATTGCGGATTGGGTTTTTTTTTCCGTTTACTTTATAGAAAGAGAGAAAGTCGAAGGATGACCGGTTGGGATTGTAAGTCGGGAATTTTGAAGTTCGGGTTGACCCGACCATTTGCTTCTATAATTTAAGGGTCAAAATATGGACTGGACCGGTTTGGTGAATAAGAGAACCGGATATTTCAGTAGCCCGTTGCTGGAAAGCCGGAATTCCGGGGTCAATTAGGCTGGCAGGTGAACGTCAGTTTCGTCTTCTAAACCGGATTTTGACATTTGCAATGGCCGAAACCTCGAGATCCGGTCCGTGATCCATTCCTTGTTTTTTTTCCTTGAACCGGCCATGCCCCCTTGTCTATTATGAATATTTCCACGAGAATAGGCAAAGAAAAAATACTATTCCAACAGAAGAACTCTTAGGTGGTTTCTGTTGCTTCATGTTTTAATTTTCATTTCATTTGGTCTTCGCATTTCAGACATGTTTAAAAGCTTTGTCAGGATCAGTTTCTTGTCTAGACATTGTTCATCATCAAAGTCTTCTTTCATCTGTAAGTTCTAAGTAGCTGTATTAACAGTCATCATCTTTTAGATAAGAATAGTGGTTGGTAAGCTTGTATACTTAAATGTTTTATTCGCCTTCAGATTTAGGAATGAGCATGTGGAACTATGGGACTGATGTAATGGATGCTTTGATGGAATTACTTATATCCTTGGTATGTGGCTTTAGTGCTGCAATCTTCCATGTTTGTGTCTAATTGTGTCTATGATCATGAGTCTTCTCCTATGCTGTAGGCTACATCCGGTGCCGGTGGGCAGTATGTTGATTTGTGCTTGGAAATGCTTGTGAACAATTTTGTGCCGCCTCCTTCATTCATATCATTGTTGAATCAGCCACGTGGCATTCTACGGAAGGGCCAAGTCATTATTCGTGTCCATTCAACTTTAATAGACATTGCAGAGTTAGTTCCTCTCTCCCCCTTGAGACTTGAGAAGATAGTAAAGGAGAAAGAGGCAGAGGATGCCAATCAATTACACAAAGGAACCAGTAAGTGCAGATACATGCTTTCTTTACAAAGAAGATTCTTCCACTATGCAGCTTATTAAATGTTCTGGTTCTAGTGACATTTTTTTGAATTAGTGAACGTTGCATCACCAGAACCTTGTGTTGATAATCTATTTCTTCTCTGTTGTGCTCCTTATTGCTGGAAGCTCCTAAATTCTTATCCATGTTTTTTTTCTTTGCCTGAAGTTCATCATGGCATATGTGGAGAACATGTTAAAACTGGAGGGTGGAGCAATTGGTGGTCTTGTTGGGAGAACCATGCTTGTGGCAACTATGGATTGGCTGATAGATTTGGATGTAAGTTGTTTGAAATTGAAGCTTCGCTCTGTCACTGTGTAGAAGTTGTTGCATTAACTTGACTTTCTTCTTGTCCTTGAGTTTCTTAGGTAGACATCGCATGGGATGAAATCTTAAATGAGGATTTCACCAAATGCATCTTCGATATGGAGCTGGAAGATCTGGATGGTCCAGTAGATGATGGTCAGCAAGATGGTGACCAGGTGATTTTCATCTTTTTACTGATATTCTTCTGTATGTTAGTGTTGCCAACTTGCCATTGCCACTAGTGTTGTTTCTTTGACTCTTTTTTTCCCTGGGATAGTGCGGTTGATGGTGATATATGTTTTCATTTCTTTTGGAGCTGAGAATAAGAAAATCAAGTATCTGTGTAAAAATATTAATGTTGCAGTTATTCGGTTCACTTTGCGTTGTCTCTAGCAGGAAAAGCTTTTGTGAGGGTAGTATGGAAGGAATGGAAGGCAAGAAANTCTTCCAACATTTAATTTTTGACAAAACATGTTAGGAAATTTTTAACTTTACTTTTAGCACAAAATTTTTCAGAAACTTTCGTTAACATCCAAACAAATTTGTTACTGATTTCTGTTTCATTGTAATGCAGGCCATGATGTACATACTTTGTTTTTGCATGAGATCAATGCTTGCTATTCCTCGTATCAGGTCACGGCTCTCAAAGCACATAGAGGATATCCTGAGGCATCCATTGAGCCCATTAATGGTAATGCATTCCACACACACACTCTCTCTCTCTCTATTGATTTCTTTTGTTTTGTATTTTATTTTTATTTTTTATTAGTTCGTGCGGATAGACTATATGTGCTATAAGCTTAGAGAGCATAAGAAAAATAAATTTGAGTGAGATTAGGTGATTCTATGAAATTACAGTGCTTTTAGATTTAGAGGTTAGACCGACCATGTTGCATGGGGTAGAGTCTTGGCAGGTCAAGAATTCTCATGTCTAGAAGACGAGAGTAGCTGAAATGAGGATATTGAGATGGATGTGAGCACACTAGGTTAGATAAGATTAAGAATGAAGTTATTCGGAATAAGGTGGGAGTGGCCCCCCTGGGAGGATAAAATGCGGGAGACGAGGTTGAGATGGTTCGAGCATGTTAAGAGGAGAAGCATAAAAGCCCCAGGTAGGAGGTGTGAGAGGTTGACCTTGGTGGGTATGAGGAGGAGTAGAGGTAGGCCAATGAAGTTTTGGGTATAGGTGATATAGAAGTAGGCCTAAGAAGTCTTGGGTATAGGTGATTAGGCGTGATATGGCGCGGCTAGAGGTTACTGAGGACATGTAGGTGCCATGAAACAAGAAATCCTAATGACTCATCTCGTAAATTTTTTCTTTTTGGAGAATTCTGCTTCTCGAATTTTTTTCTTCTTTTTCTTAGCCACGACCCGGATACATTTGTGTCTTGCAACTCCCACGATTTCTTTCTCACAGTAGTGAGTTCAAGACTGACATGAAAATTTAGTTCTTGAAAAATTATGTAGCATTGATGAGACCCATTCTTGAAGAAACTTCGCCGATCATGACTCGGAAGGATGCAGGGGACCAATTGAGCATTCGTTTGGGGTTAGCATTATCTACTTGGTTCATAAGTTGTGATTTTTTATATGGTCGAAATCGAGCTCGCCTACGACACGGTAGGTTAGGCGAGGAACATGATAATAAAGGACTAAAGATTGATCCCAAGTCCCATCGGGTTAGAACCCGGGGTCAGAACGCCTCGCCGTGATACCGGGATCGATCCTAGCCAGCTTGAAGCAACATTATTAGCATAGCCAAACATAAGACCGAAATATCCGTGACCGGTCGGATATTACGACGGAAATCTCGGCACGTATCAATAAGGAACCGACAATCAGCAAATCAAGATACTTTTACCTCTTATAGAATTGTACCTAAAATAGGACTCCTCTACTATATAAAATGGGTCTGATAATTCATTTAAGGCATTGTATCACGCATTCCAAGCAATATATTATTTTTTCTCTTTAAGCTTTTATTCAATTATGTCCTGATATCGATTGAAGTGCATCTAATTCGAGGGTGGCTAATCTCCCAAGACTATAACTGTTCAATTCGTGTTGTTTGAATTTACTTTATCATTGTTTATTTCAATTGCAACTTAATTTATCACTTTGTCTCAAGTTAATCCGCATATCCTTAAAACCACTTACAAATTTAATTTTTATCCGATTTTGAGGGTAAAGAGTTTGGCGCCCACTGTGGGGCTAAGGATAATAGTGGTTATTTTATACAAATCTACATAACACACACTACTTTACACTTGTTCTTTGAAGTGTCTCTAATTTCAGGTTAAAACTCAAAAATGTCGAAGTCTCAATCAGCACCCCTACATGTTGACAATGAGTCCGGCCGTCACGGTGAAAATAACAATATAGCGCCGGGTGACGAGGTACCGTCCATTGATCCCGTCGGATTTTCAGTCGCGGACCCGTTTGACGCTAACTCGCATGTGGCTATCGACACAAATCTGCCTACCGACCTCGAGAATAACGTCCGTGATGGAGCCCGATCAGCGGCTCAAAATACACAAAATAATGGGGGAGACGGGATCAATTTACGGATGATCTTCAAAATGTTACAGGCTCAACAGGCGGCGATAGCTCAATTACAGAACCAAAGCCACATACCAAGCAGAATTGAACCCGATCCGCCCCGGGAAGTCACCAGCTGGGACGAACCGATCACAGAGAGGTCGAATGAAAACGAATCGGGAACTAACCCCGAGATCATAAAAATGCTCGAGGAACTAACAAAACGGGCAGGGGAGAAGAAAATCGAAGCAAATGACAAAAAGGTAGAAACCTACAACTCAAGGGTCGACCAAATCCCGGGAGCACCGCCAATACTGAAGGGCCTGGATTTCAAGAAGTTCGTGCAAAAACCTTTCCCTCAGAGCGCGGCTCCAAAGCCGATCCCTAAGAAGTTCCGCATGCCCGAGATTCCTAAGTACAACGGAACGATCGTCCCAAAAGAGCATGTTACCTCCTACACATGCGCCATCAAAGGGAACGACTTGGATGATGATGAGATCGAGTCTGTCTTGTTGAAGAAATTCGGAGAGACCCTATCAAAGGGAGCTATGATATGGTATCACAACTTACCTCCCAATTCTATTGACTCATTTGCTATGCTTGCAGATTCTTTCGTGAAAGCACACGTCGGGGCTATCAAGGTCGAGACCAGGAAGTCGGACATTTTCAAAGGAAAACAGAAGGATAATGAGATGCTCAGAGAGTTCGTGTCTCGGTTTCAAATGGAACGAATGGATCTACCACCAGTCGATGATGATTGGACCGTTCAAGCTTTCACCCAGGGACTCAATGTTCGGAGCTTGGTGGCTCCACAGCAGTTGAAGCAAAATCCAATAGAATATCCGGCTGTTACTTGGGCCGACGTGCATAACCAGTATCTATCAAAAATTCGATCGAAGATGATCAACTTGGGGCCTCTTCGAGGTCCGTTTATCCCTTCAGACCCATCGACAGAGTTAAGAGAGATATCGACCGTGAACCGAGGTCAAACAGGGATCGGTGCTAGCCGTACAATGGAGATCGAAGAAGTAGTGGGTCCGGGCGGAATTCTATGCGAAATGAAAGGAGAAGTGAATGAGGTCAGATCAACCGGGGACTCATGAGCAAGAACGTTTTCGACAAGCCTACTGGGCCTAAGGAAACACCGAGGCTATCGGAATACAACTTTAACGTCGATGATGCCGTTATTGTATCAGCTATCGGACGCATCAAGGACACCACATGGACTCGACCTATACAATCTGATCGAGCCCAAAGGGATCCCGACCTAATGTGCAAATATCACGTCACTCATGGGCACAGGACAGAAGACTGCCGACAATTAAGAGAAGAGGTGGCTCGGCTGTTCAACAACGAGCATCTCCGAGAGTTCCTGAGTGATCGGGCCAAGAACCACTTCAGGAATAGGGATTCTAACAAACAGACCTAGCAGGAGGAACCTCAGCACGTCATCAACATAATCATTGGTGAGGTCGACATTCCCCAGGGGCTGATGCTGAAGTGCACCAAAATATCCATCACAAGGGAGAAACGAACTCGGGATTACGTACCGGAAGAAACCTTGTCCTTCAACGACGAAGACGCTGAGGGGATCGTTCAACCCCACAACGATGCACTGGAAATATCGGTACTCGTAAATAAATCTCAAATTAAGCGTGTGTTAATTGATCCAGGTAGCTCAGCCAATATCATCAGATCAAGGGTCGTGGAAAAACTCGGCCTGCAAGACCACATCGTACCTACGGTCCGAGTCCTGAACAGGTTCAACAAGGCATGCGAGACCACTAAAAGGGAGATAACATTATCGGTGAACGTCGTTGGAACCGTGCAGGAAGCCAAATTCTATGTAATCGAGGCAGATATGAGATACAACGCTTTATCCGAGAGGCCATGGATTCACAACATGAGTGCAACGCCCTCGACACTGCACCAGGTGCTGAAATTCCCAACGCCCAGCGGAGTCAAAACAGTTTATGGGGAACAACTGGCCGCCAAGGAAATGTTCGCGGTCGATGAAGTGATCTCGGCATCTACACTTTCAACACGGAGGATCCAAATCGACAGTCAAAGACGGGGCCAAATAGCAATCACCGATACCAGCCTCGGCAAGATCGGAGGAAGAAAGGGTAGACGAGGACGATGACTATGGAGTCCCTAGATCTTTTATAGATGATGACGTCCAAATCCTCGACTAAAAAGTAAATGGACACGGTCGCATGCAATATAATTTACCCAACTATGAGTCGGGGTCGAATCCCACAGAGAACAATATGTAGGCGATTAGGAATGTAAGAGACTTATCGCTTGTTATGCAATGCCAAATACTAAGAATTATTTTGAGGAAATATATATAGCTAATTGCGAAAATGTAAACTAACCTAGAAAGCAAGTAAAATGATCAATGGCTATGGATACACGGGGAATTACACTCAAGTAACGACCCAATGTATTTCACGATTTAACAAATATGAGCGAGTTTATGTTAATTAGCCTCGGGTAATAATTCTATATTAGATTCTTCCGAAGACTAACAAGACTTCCTAATTGAATTATCCCTAAAACAATTAAGAGATTAAGCACACCCGATTATGGCTACAAGTAGTTCAATCCTATCCCTAGGTAGAATCTATAAAG